TAAAAAAAAGTGTATTAATAAATCAATTAATGGAATAAGCTTACGTAAGGGATATGCATAAATGATTTAATTATTATTTATATATATATAACGATAATTATATTATATTAAATAAAAACTTATATTGAAATTTATTTTTGTATCATTTGTTTTGTGTAATATAAATCATTTTTATTTTTGCCATTATTATCGATACATTTATTATTAGTATTAATATAGATTTGAATTCTATTTGATATATTTTTTTTTTAATAAATAAAAGATAAGAATAAATTTCCGTGAAATAGGGATAAGCAAAAATGAGGTCGTAAGTCAGTGAATGTGCGCACACGCATTACAGAGATGGCAATTATTGATTTCTATGGAATAATAAATAAAATATTCAAATAAATATCGCATTACTGTAACATTGTGTCCCGTGTATCGTGTGAAACTTCCAGATGTTATCTATTATCGTTTTACCATACTAACTTTTTTCTGTTCTTTTTTAAAAAACGAAAGTTAAATTCGTTTCACTTGTCGATGAAAACTTTCCTTGGCTCGTTATTGGTCTTACTAAAGAAAAAGATAATTAAATTTCTGATACGCGAGTTGTATGTCGTATGTGTGTTGCATACGAAACTTTCTTAATTTTAATCGTAAATAATTATGAATTTAAAAAGTAGTTTATCGTTTAGATATGTTAATTGAAATATTTTAAATTCAACCCTGTCAACGCTAACTACTCCTACTTAAATATTTTCAATAACATATTTCTTATCTTGCTATATGTTATATTACAAAAAAAAAAACAAATCCAAATTATGTAGACAAAGATTGGCTCTCGGTACAATATTTAGATTGTCAATGATTATAAAATTGTGATTTGATAAGTAGATCAAAATATTAATTTATCATTAACAATAGAGAGAGTTTCGATTACGAATAATATTATTCACAAATTCGAATGAAATGGAAAATACTATTTAAAACTACACAATTCGTAAGAAAAATTATTTAAAAAAAAAAAAAGAAAAACCAGTAAAACAATTGAAATTAGTTTTGGAACCGAGGATAAACGGATTTTTGGAGAGGTGTTAAACAGTTGAAAAGAGTTGAACAAGCTAACGTCGTAAATACGAATTGACTTAAAAGATATTTTTCGCAGCGCAACTTGGTCGAGTTGGTTGTGCGACAACCCACCCCTCGGGGGGTGTTGGTGTTCGAAGGGTGAGTGTTCGCAAGCTCCGCCTGTCGACCAATCGGGTTCGAAGGTTCGTTTAGGTGCCCAAGAACGGGAGCCCTTCGGACTGGGCGTGTTCGAGGTGCTGCTGGTGGCGGTTCTGCGAACGATCAAACCTTCCAAGAACATTTTTCTTCCTTTTCTTTCTTATAGATTTTCTCTCCTCTCTCTCTCTCTTTTGGTCTTTCTATTTTATTTGTTGGTCCACACCCCTGGGGTGTTCTCTCAGAACACGGTGACTTACGGGGTGACTCTGGTGAACTCCTACGATTACGAAGTTTCTACGATCCAACGTAACGTGGATCGTACTTCGATGATACTTCATTCGCGTTTAAGAATTATTTTTTGATTATTTTCAAAATAACCTCGGGGAACAATATTTGCACAATAAATTAAACGAATCAATGATTTATCGATTTATCGGATAACATTAGTGCGGATACATTACGCGGTTATTTATTTATATTTCATTTTGATTTTTTTTATATTTAATTGTGTATATGAAAATATAACGCTTGACAATTTTTTTGATCAGATTGGGGATGGACTTTGTCGTGATCGAGAATTAAAAGATTGGTGTGAGATAGTATAATATTGTTATGGGGATAATTTGTGAATAAAGTTAAAAGGGATAATTTTGTTAAGTGGAACGCGAGACGACTTCCACCCCATTTCTCATTCAACGCTGGAAACTTGCGTGGATCTTCGAATGAAATAAAAATGGTCGACGATTCGTGATCCATCTTTGAAAGAACACGTTAATCTCGTCGGAATAAAACGAAGATTGTAAAAGGAATATTGATTCTTGAATTTTATTCTAATTGCAAGAAGATTCGTCAACAATTTGGATTGGTAATTCGATCTAAGTAAGTTTCATGTCAAACAAAAGTATTTATTACAAATTTATCGGCAAATTCTTTCGATGGATTTAGTTCTTGCAAAAGAAATTTACGAAGGAATTCGAATTACTTCAAAGAACAATTTTAACAAAAAAAAGAAAGGAACAACACACGCGGATTATAAAGGAAATTTATTATTTTCTCGTTTATTATCGCGTAATAAGAAAATAAAAAAAAAAAACATAATTACGAATCTTTCTATTCAAAGTGTATCACATTTTGAACGGTATAGTAATTTAGATCTTTTTTTTTGTTTCCCCGAGTACACAAACGCACAATTTATTTTTCTAATATTTTTTCAAGATAATATAAGAGAGAAGAATCTAATGAATAAAATTATTTCGAAAAATGTTGAGAAATTTAAATAGAAAATTTTTCGATTGGTTAATTCTAATCTGATAGAATTAGAATTTGTTGTTAATATAAATACAATACGATGATACGCGTGATTACGCGTGACATGTGTCGCAGTCACGTCGTTTAGTTTCCCCGTGGGTAAACCCACCTGTAAAGGTTCTTTTCCGGCCTGGAGGCGTGTAATCGTCGACCTACGGGTTTACCTGGCCGGCTATGGCCATGTAATGCCCATCATTATGTCACCGTTCGCACATATGCCAAAAAAAAAAAAGGAAAAAGATAAATAACGAAAGTAAGTAAGAAAGAAAGAAGGGAAAAGGCATACGCACATGTTGGTTTCCTATAATCGCAAGTTTTCATACTAAAAGTATCATTTACACGTACGTTGGCTTTTTGACACCATGGTGACTTCTTTATTATTTTTTTTTTCTTCTTTTCCCTTTACTCGTGACAATTATTGTATATATGAATGCATTCAAGTATTTAATACGAATGATCGTTACTTTTTTGTCCTAAAAATATGTTTCATTTTGAACGTAATATTTGTACCTTATGGTTGTTAACATTATCACAGTGATAATAATGTTTGATAATGTTGAACACGTGGAAGAAAAATAAAAAGTAGAAGGATAAATAAATGTTTTAAGTTTCTTTAGAAGATTTTTCAAGATTTAATTAAAATTCGAAAATGTGAAATGGAAACGAATGGAAAAAGATTTTATAGAAGAATTTTGAATATCACACATAGAATGAAAC